CTTTATTCTTCGAGGTTGCACTATGACGTTTAGGTTATATCTACTCAATCATGAACACCAAGAATGTCAACGACGATATATTCAGAGTGAGCAGACTTCATTACTTTCATTCGTGTAATTTCTCTATTGTGTAATAAATCCTTCTGTCTTTCCTATTGTGCAAGTCACAACTGCAAACGATGTATTATCAGGTGTCACAACAGCTCATACATAAAACATTGTCTAGCTACTTTAGAGCAATTCTCTTGCTTCAATACTTCTGTTATTTTAGAACCTAACGGCCAGACCAGACAGCACATCTCATCGATAACAAAATTAACATTATTTCCATAGCCATACCCTTTTGTGAGAGACAAGCCACGGATTCTACATTTCTATGCAGCCTACGAATCACTGCAATAATACTACAGAAAAAAACCTTTCGTATGTTAGCCTCTAAAGGTTACCCTATACAGATTGCAACACAACAACAAAGACATTTATTATAAGTATTACAAAACTAAATAAACGAGAGCCACATACTCGCCCACCACACACATTTGACTTGAGATGTCGGAGATCACTAGGGAACACAGCTCAGTCAACTTCCTCAATAGTGGGCCCACCAGCAGAACCACCTCCAGGCATTCCACCTCCTGGCATGCCACCTGGCATACCACCAGGTGCACCTCCAGCGCTTTGGTACATTTTGGTGATGATGGGGTTGCAAACGGATTCCAACTCTTTCTGTTGATGTTCAAACTCGTCTTTCTCGGCGGTTTGGTTGCTGTCTAGCCACCTGATGACTTCGTCACACTTGCTCTCAATTTTTTGCGATCGTCGGCGGAGATCTTGTCCTTCAACTGAAGCACGAAAAACGATGAACTAACAAACTTCCAAAGAACAACTGTGAATAGTGAGGTTAAAACAAACCTTTTCATCTTCGAGGGTCTGCTTCATATTGAAGGCATAGCTCTCAAGAGAGTTCTTCGCACCAATACGATCTTTCTGCGCCTCATCTTCCGCTTTGTACTTCTCAGCTTCATTGACCATACGCTCGATTTCGTCCTAAAATTGCAACCATACGAAATATAATCCAGATCTTTGCTTCTCAACGATGAACGCCCGTTTCTTATACTTTCTAGTGATACCAACCTTCGACAATCGACCTTTATCGTTTGTAATAGTAATCTTGTTATGCTTTCCAGTTGACTTGTCCTGCGCGGAAACATTCAAGATACCATTAGCGTCAATATCGAAGGTAACCTGGAACTTCCGACGTGAGTTGTCCTAATAGGCTAAAAAATCCTGATAAAGAATGCATACCTCAATCTGTGGCACTCCACGCGGAGCTGGTGGGATTCCAGATAGCTCAAACTTTCCGAGAAGGTTATTGTCTTTCGTCATCGCTCGTTCTCCTTCAAAGACCTGGATCAGTACTCCTGGCTGGTTGTCGGAGTATGTCGTGAACGTCTGGCTTGTCTTTGTAGGGATTGTGGTGTTTCTCTTGATCAGAGCTGTCATAACACCTCCAGCAGTTTCAATACCAAGCGAGAGAGGCGCGACGTCAAGAAGAAGCAGGTCTTGGACTGCCTCTGACTTGTCGCCTGAAAGGATAGCGGCCTGCACGGCAGCACCGTAAGCGACAGCTTCATCGGGGTTGATGGATTTGTTCAGTTCCTTCCCAGAGAACAGATCAGATAGAAGTTTCTGTACTTTAGGAATACGAGTAGAGCCTCCAACAAGGACAATATCGTTCACCTGGCTCTTATCCATTTTTGCATCTCTCAGCGACTTCTCGACAGGATCCATGGTCGAACGGAAGAGATCCGCACAAAGTTCCTCGAATCGGGCACGTGTAATGTTCGTGTAGAAGTCGATACCTTCGAAGAGCGAGTCGATCTCAATGGAAGCCTGAGATGACGATGAAAGCGTACGCTTTGCTCGCTCGCAAGCGGTACGAAGACGTCTGAGCGCACGAGGATTAGTGTTTAGGTCCTTCTTGTGCTTGCGCTTGAACTCTGCCACAAAGTGATTGACCATGCGGTTGTCGAAGTCCTCTCCCCCAAGATGAGTGTCTCCAGCAGTAGACTTTACTTCGAAAATACCATCTTCAATAGTCAGGATCGACACGTCGAAGGTTCCACCTCCAAGATCGAATATGAGAACATTTCGCTCTCCAGTTCCCTTCTTGTCCAGACCATAAGCGATGGCAGCAGCTGTCGGTTCGTTAATGATTCGAAGGACATTAAGACCTGCAATAGCTCCCGCATCCTTAGTGGCTTGGCGCTGAGAGTCGTTGAAGTATGCAGGGACGGTGATGACAGCATCCTAAATCAGATCACTACTATAACTTCCAGGATACCACAATGTCCGATTCACAAAATTGACCTACCTTGACAGTAGAGCCGAGGAAAGCCTCAGCAGTATCTTTCATTTTCGTTAGAACCATAGATGAGATTTCTTCCGGTGTAAACACTTTGATTTCGCCTTTGTATTCAACCTGCACTTTAGGTTTCGAGCCTTCGGCCGAAATAACTTTGAACGGCCAGTGCTTCATATCTGCCTGGACAGCAGGGTCGTCAAACTTACGACCGATGAGTCTCTTTGCATCTGAACGTAGGACAGGATAACAGTAGATTACGAAAATATAGTTCTTCAAAAATACTAACCGAACACAGTATTGTGCGGATTCATTGCGACCTGATTCTTGGCTGCATCTCCAATTAATCGTTCGGTGTCAGTGAACGCGACATATGACGGTGTCGTACGATTACCTGGGAATTTCAGCTCAAAATAGAAATAAAACAAGCATGGCTAAGATCAAGAGCGATAATGATAAAGCTCTCGACGTGGAACAATCTCTGAGGTATTTCCCATGTATTCAGCTCCACCAAGTAACGTCCGAAGCGACTGGATGCACATCTAGCCTTCACAGAGCTGCGGTGGCTTGCCGATCCACCAAATCAGTCTCTTTCATAGCCCTCAATATACTCTCTCAGACAAGTCTGGTATCAATTCGTCGATCCCTGAGGGATGTAAGGCTTGATGAGGCTCGGTTGCGGGACCGTCATCGACCAAGTGGTGTGTCGCAAAGCACCTCTAACCACTGCGCCCACCACCATGCGCTCTTCCACTCGCGTCTCATTGGTGAAACCTTACAAAATCTTCTCACCTTGATCGTTCGCAATGATTTCCACTTTCCCGTGCATAAAGACACCAACGCACGAGTACGTCGTGCCAAGATCGATTCCGACTGCGTTAGCTTTCGTCATGATAGCTTAAATGCATACATTTAGGAAAGATTTTGATCGACACAACATCAGCGATGGAGGAAATACACGGCGGTAAACACAGCGTCACAAAAACGAGACTACTATTTAGCAAACAAACTTTTCACACAAAATTCATACTTATTTCCAGAATAAGCTGACGAAATCGTTTCTCCACGATATAAAACAGTGTAGAAATAAGAGCGCTGATTTGGGGGTTTATGAGTAGGAAGGAAAAGGAAGGACCCACAAAGAAAGGAAAGGAACCAGAAGGAAAAAGGAGCCATCCTAACGAAAAGGCAAGGTGTCACCGATACCGGCGCGCGGAAAGACATAAGTGGAGATCTTTCTCAAGAATAAAAACCTTAGGAAAGATAGAGAGAGAGATAGGGCGAGATCAAACCCAACCCGGGAAAACATAACCAATGCAAAAGGCCTGACCTCACCTCTTCAGACGTGAAGAGAAAATGAGAACTAGGCTGGAGGAGCTATTTATATAGGGCTCGTCCGTCGAACATTCTAGACCATGTGTGGAATGGAGCGCGTTATTCCACGTCAGCTATCGGTCGCCGGCGAAATAGTTCATTAACCGCTAGAGGCCGGGTTTTTTTTTTTATCCTTGTCACCAAATTCATGCTTATTTGCGAGTAGGGCTGACGAAATTCTTTTTCGGCGTCGTAAAACATTATTGTACGAAACATTAGCGCTTGGTCTGGGAGCACCGAAGAAAGAGAGAAAAGGAAGGGACCAGCGAGAAAAGGAAGGGACCTCTCAAGTGAGAGGGGCCGAAATTGCCTCTAAACAAAAATCGATAGCAGCTCACGAACAAAACCACCTAACTAAACTCACTTTTTCTGATAGATGGGGCTATTCTACAAAGATGGAAACCTCTTGAAAAAGAAAACGAGAGAGAGAGAGAAAGTGAGAGATGAAAACCCGGAAGAACACAACGAAACGAGATCCCACCTCACCAGACGAGCGAAGAAATGAGGAATGGCCTGGAGGCGGTATTTATATAGGGATCGCCCGTCGAACATTCTGGAACCACTTGTGGAATGGAGCGCGTTATCCGATGCAGGCTATCGAAATCACGCAAAGAAATGCGCTCGATAGCGGCTCGGGCGGGGTTTTTCTGGCCCTGGAAGTTTCTGGAAGATGACTTCGATGAAAATCACCCACGAGGTTCCCGAGAAAAACGTCCCCAAAGAATATTCTGGTCGCTTACGTCATCAAATTCAAAGGACGTGTTTTGGCGCGAATGTTCGAGAACCATCGGCAGCCTCGACGGCGTTCCCGGCACGGCTCGTCATCGCCGGATGACTCATCGACGCCTGGACGGGGGGGGGGGGTTGTTTACTTGTTTATTTCTGTACGAGGCTTGTTTGTTTATTTGTTTATTCGTGGGGATTTATCCTCATTTACACGTATTTACTGCTGTTCAAGAGCCTAGCCTGTTTATTGTTTGTTTTCACACATCTTATTTTATTTATAAACAGGAAAATTCTAAGCGTTCACTATTGTAACAGCAATATTTCCAAGCAGTTACTTATTTAGTGTATGGTGAAACAGAAATATTTACTTGTTTGTTTGTTTATTACTTACTATCTACTACTTTTTATTGACTACTTAAAACTATTTCCATTTAATTTCACTTATTTATCACTCAGAATCATGTTTATTTAACCTCTTCTTGCGGTGGTATGACGTCATAGAAATGCCCAGCGATGCTGAATGATGAGCAAAAAATTTTACGTCAAGCGGGACTCGAACCCCGTACATCTCACGCTTTCCGGAGGCGCGCGCTCTTGCCTTTGTACTATCAACGTTCATTTTGCCACCACTCTTTTCACTCTGCAACACATCAATTTGTCAGTAGAAGGGGGTGGTGAAAACAGGCATCGGTAGTGCTGCGGACAAGAGCACGCACTCCGGAAAGGATGAAACATGCGGGTTCGAGTCCTGCCTGACGTCAAAGTTTTGCAAATCACTCAGCATCATTGGGTATACGTTATTTGTTTATTTACAGACAACTACTTTATTCTTTTCATGCGAATCGGTATTTATAGACGAGAAATATTCCTTTGAATATTTATTGTGCAACTTTTTTTTCTATCTACAGACGTATGTAAGTATTTATAGATATCCTGCGCGGCATTCTTTTTTGAACTGCCATCCTGAGCGCATGTGGCGCACTGGTTAGAGGTGCTCTGCGTCGCACATGAGGTCAGTGGTTCGACCATGGAATATGGCTCGTCCAGTCAACCATCCCTCCAGGGTCGGCAATATGGTATCAGACTAGTCTCGGCCTGTCCCGGAAGGATAGGTGGCATTGATTCGCTACGGCGGGAGGCCACCGCGAGTCTTTGTAAAGGCAGATATGCATTCAGATGAATGCATGGCACATCCCTCAGGAAGTGATCATTGGCGGGAGCTTCATCGTTTTAATAGACATGTCTGCATCAAAATAAAGCGGTGGATCTCTAGCTTCCAATGTCTGTTTGTTCTATACATGATGAAAGCCTTGCTAGTTCGAGTAGAAAAGGAAAACGGTTACTCTGTTACTCTCTGAGTGTATTAGGTTGGTGCAAAAGTAACCGCGGTTCCTGACCTCAACTGAGAAGATCGACTTTCTCTTCAAATATCGGCATGGTAACGAAAAATAATCTCTAACATGGCGTTCTCTTCAAATAAACCTTCCACGAGCAGGTATGACTCTCTTAAGATTCCATGGCTAAACTTCTTTTCTCTTCTAACAGATTTTGGAGGAGGAAATAGAAGACTGGTGAAAAAGTTATTGCTGTTTCAGGTCATCGGAAAACCGCAGTCACTTGTGCACCAACCTGATGCCTTCGTTTCTTATTAGCGATTTTGAAGAGAGAAGAGGACCTTTTTGCTCTTTCTTCTGGTCGATTTTGACCAGGCAAATCTCTCTCCTTTCTAGCCCACTGGAATAAACATTTACTTTAGCCATTGAACTTGGAGGGAGAAATACCAATTTTGTGCAGGTTTTTTCTTTGCATAGAAAAAGGCAGTTGTTAGATCGGATGATACATTCAAATTGATCTGATATGTGGAGCGATTCTCTGTGCTGAGAGGCAGGGGAGTTCCTAGTATGCATGGACTGAACTAAGCGACGAGACTTATATTCTAGCAAGGTTTTTCTAGATATTTTCGCCTTGCTTCTATTCCAAGAGCTTTTTTATTTGATTCAGTGGAAAGTTTCTGGAACTGTGAGTCAGATACGAGCCCTCCGGCAATTCGAGTGTTGTAAATACTGCGTGTGCCTTGGATGGTTTTTGGTAATTTTTGTGTGATTTTAGTACTTTTAGATCTTGAATGCGCAGAGGGCAGTTTAGTAAGGAACCAGTGACTGAGCGACTTGTGGATGCCGATCATCCTGACTTGAGTTGGAGGAGTACTGCTGGACATTTTCGGTAAGCTGTCCTTGATTCGGTTTACAGTTTTCTTTCTCGTTCATAAACCAACAAACGAGGTTGTTATCATTAAGTTATTTAAACTGACGTGTCGACAAATTTCGTCTTCATAGCCTGGAAACATCAAGTTTTTCTAAGTTGATATTGTAAACCTTCGATCGCACCAGCTTCGTGTGATATGCCGTTCCGACCCCGGATTGCGATCTGCAGTGGAGATAGAAGCATGATATACCCCCACACTCTGTACGACCTGAAAAACATGAAATGGAGTGCTACTTTCCTGTTGTCATGACACTTACTTGACGCCTCTCTCCTCGGAGAGCACGTTGGTGTAATGGTCAGAGGTGCTCTATGACGCGTGGTGGGATTAGTAATGGTCCGATCTTGCTCTCAAAACTCGCCAAGCAATCCATTGCTCCGAGGTCGGTGAATTGGCAGCAGATTTGACTAGGAGGGTAGTGGTATTGAATTGGTACATTGGTGGGTCACCGCGAATCATTGTAAGGGCCACAAATGCATTAAGTCGTTTGAAGATGATGCTTGATGAAGACGAATATGTGGCGCATGCTCAGTAGTTGTTCTAACGCTGAATGCTTTATCTGACTAGCTTGGTGCATTCTCATTTTTCTCGTGTTTCTCCAACTTACAAGAGTTCTATATAATCATCTTCTTCGGCTCCCCATGTCTTCGAACCTTGTCAATATCTTGTGAGTGACGAAAAAGCTCTCTTCCATTGTGCGGTCTTCAGTGTACTTTAGAACTTGAGACAACCATAGAACTTTAGAAGAGACTTTGGTCTATCGTTTTGTGAGTACAAATGTTCACCTGAACATTTAGTAGTCATCGTAGGTTCTTTTCCCTTATTCGGGAACAAATGAAAAAAGATCTTTTTTGCTGCAGAAGGAATCTTCTTTGCACTTGGTAATCATTCGAAAGCTGAAATCTTTGGTCACTGCGCTACGTGGTCGTTTTTGAAGGAGACCGTCTTTAACGGTGTAACAGACAGGGAATATCTGTGTTTCGCACATCCATATTTCTCACAGGACAGAACTGTTCCTTGGAATTATAAGTAAACATTCGATAGAGTAAATTTTGGCGATTTCAGCGCTGTGCTTATTTTCTGAAAAGACCGTTTCATCATAGTCTAGCAAAGATTGAGCTCACAGACACGTCATTTGTTTTTCAGCTAATCTGCGGGCTGAGAGAGGGGCAGGTGAGCTGCCTGTGGCTTCAACACGGCGACCGATCAATTGCGCTGATGCGTTGTTCATATAACGTGCAATTTTTGTTATTTAGGAATGTTTTATCCTTTTCGGAAAAGACTCCACATAAAACGGATGGCTCTGATACTGCAAGATTTCCACGCCAAGTTCGTATGCTTTTCGTGATTCCAGCGAAGTAATAGTGAAAGATGTGATTTTATTCTGAATTTGACAGCGTTATAGGAGGGCTTTCAAAAAGGAGCACGTAGTGCATGAGCCAGATTTGAGCTTTCGAATAATTACTGGCACACTCAAGTAAATTTGTCAAGAGAAAGGAGTCGTTTCTTCATTTGTTTTTGTATAACAGGGAAGAACCTTATCGTGTATTGATGTGATGATGGGGTTAGAAGCTTTTCATTAGCTTTTTTCCTTCGGAAGGTGATGTTTAGTTCTACATGCTTTCGTTATATTTTGTTCAGGAGGCAAGGTAGTAGAGTTTTATCCGGGTTCCTCTGCTGTGATGCAGACTTAGGTTATTATGACAAGCTATCATTGGCCGTCTCAGCTTAAGCTCATCGACATTGTCAAGTCATTCAAAGGTAGATCACTTATTGAGTATGTCCTTGAAATGGTACTGCGTTTTTCCCTAGTTCCAATTCAAATTACTTCTAATTGTAGACTTTACTGCAACTGCTGATGGGGAAACAATCGACAGTGGTGCCTCCCGCTTTGAGCTTGACAGCAGTAAGGTTACTTGTAATTGAAGACTAGCCCTTTATTGACCTTTGATTCGTTTAGATCACTCTGGAAGTCCTCGCTAATGAAACTCGCATTTTATGCTCAGGTTTAAGATCCTAATCAAAGGAAATGTTATCACCTGTTTATCCCTTATAAGTGCTGATACTGAGGAAGAGGAAAACATGGTTCTTGTCTGCATATTCGGAATAATGGCAGTTAGAATCGCTAGGTGAGGAAGTGAATTGTTGAGGGTTAATTGTTGATCAGTGTTGATCATGTGAGTTGTTGATTGTTGAATAAAAATCTTGAGTGAAAGTTTCAAAACATTAGTAAGATATTCTAAAAGAAGACATGGAGATATACATTTTTTTTGATGAATTACTCCTCAAAGTGATAAGTACGATTTCTTTCTACGCTTATTTCAGCTCCCCTCCTTTCAAATTTCTTCTATGGGTCGTGTTTTCTAGAATAAGTGTTCTAGAGTTACGGGCTTACAGCATCGCCAATGAAAATGAGTATTAAGGATCGGAAACGTGTTCTTTACCTAAGAAATTAGTTCTTTCTTCAAAAAATGCGTACTTGGAACGCGCGTGGGGGCCTCCTTTATCCTATAAATTTAGTTATGCAAGTGTCACGGTGACATGTCATCCGTTCTTGACAAGCGCCTAAGCTTTTGAATCTATTGGCGCAAGTAGATCGAAATGGAAATTGAAGCCAACGTGATAGCCGAATAAGCCGAGAGTAATTGGAGTTCAGGATTCAAATATGTCAGAAGATTGAGAACTTCTACGTGATTCGATCTCACATTTTGTCTAAATCCTAGCATTACTGCAACTCAGTTCGTCTCGCATGTGTAATTTACGAAGAGCTTCGACAATGGAGTGTAGTTATGGGAACTTGATGTTTTTCGTTGTTAATGGTGTCGGATGCAGATAAAGATTCTCCCGGAATGCTGGTTTTACGGGGGGCGCTCGACACAAGTGGGGATCACGCCCATTTTGGTCGATTTTATTCTCTTTCGTATCGCACCAGAGTTCTCAAATGTTCATCAAAGGCAGCGTTTTTTTTTTAGGTTGGAGAGATCCAGATGATCTCAGAAAACTTTAGTACTAACCTCCGAACCCTCGAATAATGGAATACCTGGTTGGCCTTTTACGGGTCGAATCAGAGTCCTGCTTGTAGTGAACGCGGTGTCACCCGACTGCGCTGTCCGTCTCTTCATGACTATTTAGTGCAAATTAAATCCTAGATCAGCTTTGCTAAAGCATTTCTACGTCTTCACTCTACCTTTGACTGCCAATTGTGAGTAAAAGGAGCTTTTGCAAACAATTCTGGTTGCACTCTGCCGGCAAATAATGGATAGAGAGTGTGGTCAGCTCAGAGTGAGATCGAACCAGCGACATAGGCGCATGTTGAACGGCAACGTGGTGTTGTCCTTGCTTTTGACAGCAT